ACCAGACCCACTAAATTGAGCCCCAGAAGACTGACCACAGCCGTGTCAAACTCAGAGGGAACCGCCGGTGGTGCCAATAGTCCCATTCTTCATGAGGAGTAAGGAAAGCCAATGGGAGAGTTTGCTCCTGTCAGCCTCCCGCCAGGTGGACGGCACAGACACTCAATTTAAGCTATGTCGACTCCAGTTACATAATTAACATAGCTGAAGTTGCCTATCTCAGTTCAACCTTCCCCTGTAGTGTAGACCAAGCCTTAATGTTTGGGAAATAGGAGGACTGTAGGGTGTTCAGACACTATAGAAATGGGAGCCTTCAGAGCACCTAAAACAACGTGGCATTAGCCACTCTAGGACGAGGCCTCTTCCAAACTCAGGGATTTCTAATCCAATGGCACCTGGGTTTGTCATAACCACACCCCACCCTAGCCATATATTTCAAACCATGGAGCAGACCCAAACCCATTTCCCTAGCTCCACTTTCACCCAGAGCTTAGCTATGAACTACTGTTAGCTGCAAAGCCAAACCCAGTGAGCACAGAATTATTAAACCAAACCTCTCCTCCCTGGGCAGCTCCAGTTTCTGCTGTGGCCAGAGCAGAGTCAAATGTAATTGTGAAACAGTGGGGCTCCAAACGCAGGCTGGAAGGGGAGGGTGTGAGTGTTCTTTGCGGTTCTGTCTCCGCCTTCCTCCTTCAACAGGAGCTGAAACTGAATCAACGGTTTCTTCCCATTAGCTGGAGTCGCTTCTCCTGTGTTCCATTGAACGTGACCGCTGAAACAGTCTTACCCTAACTGGCAGTTGCCACCCATCAAAGTCATTTGCTTTAATAATTTATTGACACATAAAACAGGAAGAATTTTCCCAGCAACAGTAACGCCCCTTCCTCAGGCTGCCATTTATTCTCAGCCCCAGGGAGCAGGACGCACTTAGCTGTTCTCCCTCCCCAAAGGCGATTTTAGAACGACACCTCCCCTCCCAGCTCGTGCTCCAGAGATCTGATTTTAAAATGTAGTGAATATCGGAAATGAGTTGAAATGTACCTCGAGACACTTGTGGCAACGATGTGCTTTTAAGAACCTGGGCAGGAGTTTGGGCTTTGCAGACCTCTTACATACACCCCAAAGAAATGAGCCGTATAATGGCCCATCATCATGCTTCCCCTCTGACTCAGGCGCTTGCTCATAAAAAAAAAAAGCCCCCAATCTTTTTGTAGAACTTCTGCAGACTTTCAGTGGCTGAAGTGCAAGCTCAGGAGATTGTGTGCGGGTAATATTGGCTGTCCTGAGCTACTTGGAGGAGATGGGAAGCCAACCCCAAAACATCACATCACATCACATCTATTTTTTTTGATCCTCCCCTCTTTGGCCTTGCAAATTGATTCAGTGCCTGGCGCAGATCTTGATAGGGTTTGTCAGGGCTGCAGTTCCTCAGATCTGAGAGCAACCGTTTTCATTTTGCTGGCTGGTCTCCTGATTCTCTCTGCTGCTCCCTGGCGGTCCCTTACTCATTTCTGTTTTTTCAAGGCGAGTAAGGCAATATCTTTTACTGGACCAACTTCTAACCAACCTTGTTTCGCTATTACCCTGGGACCGACCTGGTCATAACAGCACGGTCTATAAAGTCATACAGATCCCAACTACAGTGTTTCTGGGGCCAAAGCATGTTGGAAGATTCCACTGAGTCCTGCAATTCTGGCCCCGTTAAAGTGTTGGGAAATAAAACACCCCCGTCTCATGCTTGCGGGATCACTTTATACCCCTTCCGGTGAATAATAAATGGAGCCTCATGTTCATGCCACTGTAGATCACTGCATCATATAACTCCTGAGCATTATTAACAGCACTAGGTCTGCAAAGACGTTAGAGCGCCATGTGCTGAAGGGTGTAATGAAGGATGCAGTAAAAGAATTTGGCATAAGATCAAATCACTCTCTGAAAAAAATCATTCCCTTCAATTGCTGCCTCTTTCCCACCCCCACACATTCCCTGTGCGCTGGCTTGACTTAAGGGGTGATACAGCAAGTGCTGACACCCATCGGCAGCTTTTCCCAATGGGTCAGATGCTGCACCAATGAAATCAAGAGCAAAATGCCCATTGATTCCGGTGGCACAGACATGTGACATCCCAAACAATTGCAGGATCAGGCCCATGGGCTGTAAGCACTTCAGGAGAGGGACTATGTCTGTGATGTGCCTCATTATGAATATTATTCATCATGATTCCCTGCAAACCTGACAAATTCTCTTTTTTCCTTTCTGTCACACTCTGCCCAGCAATCCCACTGCTCTGTCCCTAAGGAACCCGCACTATTATTTATTAGAATTGGGTGGAGAACAATTTAAAATGTCTATAAATACCCCAGGAAAGTAAATGCATTAACCTTATCTTGATCCTCAGCTGTAATTACATAAAGTCTGGCTCCCAAGTAAATGAGTACATTAATAACTATTTTGTTCTTACAATAACCATCGTTTCTTAGATCTTAAAGCTATTTGCTAATTTAGCCACACACGTATGCCCAGAGATAATTCCACTGTCAAAATCTGACAATGTGTGTGACGCTCCAGAGACACAGTGCTGACCAAACCACTTCATTCACTTCAAAGTCATTCAGCAAACCTATTTTCAAATTAGGAAGATTAAAAAAGAAAAACTATTACATGTGAATAAGTCTGATGTTAAATGAAAGGTTCCAGACAATTCCAACCCCGGGACAAAAACTTCTCAGTGAAATTAATCTTTGGAACAGTCAGAGGAGAATAGCTCGTGTGTGTGTGTGTGTGTGTGTGTGTGTGTGTGTGTGTGAGAGAGAGAGAGAGAGAGAGAGAGAGAGAGTTAAATGGGCATCAGCAAAGCCAAAGATAACAATGGAAATACAAGAAATAAAAAGAGTGCAGCTATCAGTAATCTGGAAAATTACTTGTTTGTTGAACCTGGATTGGGTTTACCAGGCTCCTCCAGAACCATCACAGCTACGTGCCAGCTTGGCCTGATTGCCTCTCCATGCTGTGAGTGTGGGGCAATAGCACACTGGGTGAAAGAGGGCCCATGCTAGCCTCCTGGGGCAATCCTCTGGGTATGGACCTGAACTCTGAGCTCTGATGACCGCACCGGGGATGTGCAGGACACAGCCCTGTAAATGTCATTCTCCTCCGGGGTTACTTTCTTCTCCCCTTACGATGCCTGACAGAGATTTCCTCGAGCCCATGGCAATGCTTTGCCTTTATGGTGAGAGGATGTAATCCTCTCCAAGCCATTTGCAAGATTTAGACTAAGGAGTCAAGGGTTTTATGGGATTTCAAGACACAGTAAAGAAGAAATACTTGAAAGTTTAGTGTCTTGCAGATGGAGAGGAGGACAGGGAGATGGTTTGAATCTCCACTTGGTTCCTGTCCTGATGTTCTCATTTCAAAGCAATTTGCTCACTTCAGTAGAATTTTAATTAGTGCTTTATTTCTTTAGCCCTACATTGCATATTATACCTGTAATCCAAATACTCATGATTAGCAATAAGAGTTTCCTCCAGAGATCGGAGGGAAGGGTATTTTAGGTGACAAAGTTTTCCACTGGCCTAAGTGAAAAGAGTTGATGGAACTTGGTGCAGCATCCTAATGCAGGAGAGTCCGTCCAATTGCTTTTAGACAGACCCTCTGTTCTGGAACAGGACTCTCACCAAGGTCAGTGTGCGGGGATGGAGGGGTGGGAGGGGAGCTTGCAAGGGCTCCTGCCCCTACAGATCTCTCCAGGAGACCTAGATTCCAGAAGGACCCCCGGTGATTACATAGTCTGACCTTCTGCGGGGGATCTGGAGAACTTCCCCACCATAACTCCTTGAGGAGATCTTTTAGGAGAACATCCCCTCTCAACTTTTAAAATTACCAGTGCTGGAGAACCCCCCCCCCCCCCCCCCCCCCCCCCCTCAATTGCTCTGATGGTTAAAAGCTTACACCCTCGCTCTGCCTGCTCGTCATTGCTCCTCACGTTGAACATAGATGACCTGGCAGAAGAGGACACTAGACAATAAACGGCTGCAGAAGGTGAGGAAAGGCTGACGCAGGACTGCGGCACCAGGGCTGAGCGAATCCCTGTTCTACAACAAGAGGAACAAAGGAGTGTTTGGTTCTGTCATTTGCTCCGTCTGCCCATCACCAAATCGCAGCTCTCAGCCCCTCGGGACTGAAATCCAGGGGAAGATTTTTACTTTCCTGGCTGGAACTCCAGTATTCACACCCATCACTTCTTCCTACGGGTCTGGTTCTGGTGCAACCAGAGGAGAAAGGTTTTCAGTGGGACACTGGCCATGGTGTGATGTGCACTTCCCCCCAGGTGATCCACGTGAGTCCCTGTGCACTGTCCAAACCCCCTCAGGCAACGGTTTTCACTGCTGCGTAGGGCCTGGAACCGCTGCATCGCCATGTTCCACTGAGAGCAGCCCTAGAGACTGAGTAATTATCTGAGCCAGTGATGGAATCAGGTGGATATTTTGTACAAGGACTTTGATAATGAACCAGTTTTTCTGGTCTCCAGTGACACTCTAATCCCTGCTGTCAAGGCTGACTCCCCACTCTGGCACGATGAATGCAGAAGTGAGGGCCTGCAAAAGTACCCCAAAACCTTCTCTTTCCAGGCTTTGGTATAAAACTTCCCCCAAAATCTGAAAAACCTAGATTTGGGGGATAAAAATCTGCAGCCACTATCCAAGTAATGGTAAGAAAAACCAGGGAAGAGATCACTTGAGAAATCTCAGCCCTAATACCAAGTTAATAAAAAAGAAAGAACTTTTCTTATCACCACAATACTCCTGTTACAAGCACAGCTGGATTGGCTAGATGAGGAGAGCCACCAATGAATAAACTCATGGGGAATTTTCCCATGGGGAACAAAACTTAGTTACAAAAGAGAGAAAACCCCATTTCTAAATGCACAGACATCAGATCCACAGTCCCAAACCATAAAACAATAACACCTAATGGATTTATCTAAACTTTACCCTACTTACAGATAGTGAAGAGTCTTCTTTTGGAGAGACACGTTGTCTGTCCTCCTCAGTATCTGGAGAACAACTGCTCAGAGACAAAGGAGGGGAAAAACAAAAATTTCTTTGTCTCAGTTTGAAATCCCTATCTGCATTTCTATTGGCTGACTGCTGCCTAGCTAGGTACAGTTAACCTCTTAGTCCCCAGGCTGCTGGCCATCCCTCATGGTCATGACCCTGCCTGTGCACTATATCTCACACAATGGAGACTGGAGAAGGGTGTTTTATTCTGATGAACATGCAACCCCTTATGCATGTTAACATGTGAGCCTGTGACCAGGGCATGTTAGACTCCCCTGAGCTCAGCAAAACTCCTTTTCTGACATGCTGGCAGCCCGATCTCCCCAGGACTGCTGTAATTGGAAAAGCGAGTCGAAAAGCACTATAGTGCAACCAACGCGGAGTCCCAGGAAACGCCTCTGCTTTGCTACTACAGAGTTACTCACTCCTAGCAAAGGCACAGGTTCACCATTGCCGAAGGAGAGCTCTTTACCCGCACAGCCAAAGAGAGGCAGCTGCTATGAACGATCGTCCCATCGTCTTCAGCCGTCGAGACCTCAGGACGTACCGAAATGGCGCGGTCTCATCAGTGCCATTACCAAACTGGTTTAAACAAAATCAAGGCAAAAGAAATACTACTTTGATCTCCATGGTAACCCAAGTTTGAGCTGCAGTGAAGGCTTTAAATTCGAAATGCTTATTTGGCTGAAACCCCAGGAATAATCAGCGGGAGATTAGATCCATTAAAACCAGCAGGGGTTGTGATGTGTTTCATAAAATGGGTGCCAGAAGAGTATTTGATATGATTAGGCTTAAAAATCTGCTACCAAAAAGCGCTGAGTGGAGCTCCATGCGTCCTCTCAGAAAACAGTTTATTTAATCAATTTAGCCCCTTTCTCCACATGTGAATTAGCGATGAGCAGGTTTGATTTTTTTTCAGAATTTCTCCATTAATTTGAAATGACTAGACAGATGGCTGATGCCAACACATTGCAGTGCCTGATTACTCACAGAGGGCGAGATTCCCCCAGCTCCTGGGCCAGCTTCACAACAGGCCATGGCGTTGTAAAGTCATAGAATCCCAGGGCTGGAGGAGACCTCAGGAGGTCAGTGGGTCCAGCCCCCTGCCCAAGGCAGGACCAACCCAACTCCATCATCCCAGCCGGGGCTTTGTCAAGCCAGGACTTAAACACCTCTAGGGATGGAGATTCCACACACACACCCCTAGGGAACCCAGCCCAGCGCTTCCCCACTCTCCTCATGACATAGTTTTTCCTAATATCCAACCTAGACCACCCCCACTGTAACTTGAGCCCATTGCTCCTATTTCTGCCACCTGCCCCCAAAGAGAACAGCCTTCATCTTCTTTGGAACCCCCCTTCAGGGAGTTGAAGGCTGCTATCAAATCCCCCCTCACTCTTCTCTTCTGCAGACTAAACAAGCCCAAATCCCTCAGCCTCCACTCGTAGGTCATGTGCTCTAGCCCCCTAATCATTTTGGTTGCCCTCCGCCCAACCCTTTCCAATGTGTCCACATCCTGTCTGTAATGGGGGTCCTAGAATTGGACACAAGCCTCCAGATGTGGCCTCACCAGAGCTGAATAAAGGGGAATACTCACTTCTCTAGATCTGCTGGAAATGTTCCTCCTAATGTTCCCCAATATGCCATTAGCCTTCTTGGCTATAAGGGCACACTGTTGACTCCTCTCCATTGCTTGAGCCCTACTTATCTTTGCAAAGAACATGGGACTTCTGTAGCTGTATGAAAAAGGGTGACTCAGTTTACCCCTCACTGGTTTTTGCCACCTACTTAGTCTTTACTGTGTCATTCAAAGGTAGACACAGACATAATTCCCTGATCCTTAGTGCAAGGGGTATTTCTGGAAAGAACTTCATTCCTGGAGACCATCAACAGGAGGAGAATAGGCCAAGCCCTGGCAGAGCTATGTGACGATTGAAACCTGAATGAAATGTGCTCTCTCTGGGGCCCGATATACACTACAGGGTTAGGTCATCATCAGCTGCCTTATGTCAACCTAGCTGTGGAAACAGCTTCACCTAAATTTCGCTGCCTCTCTGTGGAGATTTGCTAACACCACGTCTCTGAGTGGCACCGAGTGACAGCCGATGCGATTACGTGTACGCAATGTCAGTGCAGACCCCACATGGCTTACGCCGACTGTTACTGGCTTTCAGGAGCTGTCACTCAGTGCCTCGTGTTAACAACATTGTACCAGCACTCCAGCCAGGGTGGGCACTGCCGACACACGGAGTCAAGTGTGCGCACCCATGCAACTTAACAACGGTGGTGCCTGTAGCCTGAGGTAAGTTAGGTTGATATAATTGTGTAGTGTAGCCTAGGTCTCTAGAGAAGTGAGAGAAAACCCCAGGAGAGCAGCCACGGAAGAAGGGGCAGCCCTTTAAAACCGTAGAGCTGGGGTGAGGATCAGGGGCCACTGCCCCACAGAAAAATCACTTGGGGGCTGCTCACCAGTGAGAAGCAAAAAACAAACAAAGAACCCCTCCCTGGTGTGGGCCCTGACTGAGAAGGAGAAAGGCTCTCCCCACGATCCCCTCACGCACCAGAGCCATGCGCGGGGGTGGGGGGCAGATTAGTAGTTTTTGTGTGCTCCAGCCCTGACGAGGGATGGCGGGGGGAGAGCTGGAGTGCCAGTGTGAGCTCCCCTATGCTGGGGAAGAGCCTTGAGCTTCAGGGGCCAGATCCAGGCACCCAGACCTTAGGTTCCCCACCTCCACCACTGAGGCTGGACTGTCCTGGGTTGAGGAAGAAAGGGGCGTGTTTCTGAGGAAGGGAGGACATTTCTGAGTGCGAGGCTGGCTGTGCTGAAGGGTAATTGGCTGTCGGGGGCTAGAGGAGAAGTCAGGAGGTGGAGGGGCCGGGGACAGGCAGGGCCCGGGAGGCTCTACAGAGCTTTGACCATGCCCAAAGAGTAATGAGGAAAACAAGCCTCATCCGCTACCTTCTCTTGCTCTTTGTGAGTCAGCAAGGCATTGACACGGGCAGCGAGCAGTGACAAGTGCCTGCTAAGTAAATGAAAACGTGCGCACGGCCACTTCCCAAAGAGGCTGCTTTTCCCCACGCCGATTGGCCCTTGGAGCAATTCAGATGACACGATTAAGGCTGAGGGCTTCGATGCAACAGCCGAGCGCCTTGTCGCATGGCCCGCCTCACTCAGCATAGTGCAGCCACGTGCGGCTCAAATAAAGAGCAGGAAAATGAACTCACATTAAACTGATAAAGCAAAAATACAAAGCACTTGGCAGCACCTGGGTGGCACTCAGACGGCGAAGGACAGCAGCTGGCATATGCTGCTGCAGCCCTCAAGCCTCCCACATGCAACAGAGAGAAACCAGCCGCCTCGGGGAGACGTGCCTAGCGCCGTGGACTCAGCAGAAGGAGCTGTCAGGGGAGCAAAGATTTAATGACTCTTATTTAAACCGAAACGGAATGATTCACTGTGTTCTCCGGCTGTGGAGCAGCTGCAGAGCCTAGCCTGGGAGCTAGAGAGACCCCTCTGAGCCCTGACAGGACCGACTAATCTTCAGAATGTCCCTTGAACAAGTATAACAGCTTCTCCCTCTCACTGGCTCTTCTTAGGAGCAGACCTGCCAGGCTGAGGGAGCTGCCCACCCCCTGACCTTGGAAAAAGACCGTGGAGACAGCAGGGTTCAGTGGTGAGAGGGGACAGGGACAGCGCAAATTCAATCCCCTCTAGCCCTGAGCATTGACTGTCTCCCCGCTCACTCTCCTCTCCTTTGTGCTGCCCTTGTGAAGGGCCAGACGGTGTCACACCAGGAGTGGGACTGTGCTGCAAACCCACCACGAGCCAGACTGTTCGGTGTCCCCATCCCATCCTCTCCTTCTCCTCAGTGGAGCTGGAACTAGGGGTGCTGCCCCACCCTGAGTTTGAAGTGGTTCCATGCCACACAGGGTCCCAGCTGCTCTCGGCACCCCTCCTCTGCACCTTGTCTTAGCACCTCATTCTCTCAGGGCCAGTGTGCCCCTCGCCGGGCGTCCGTGGGGAGTAGGGCTCCCAAGATGGACACCTTATCCCTCCTTCCCACCTCAGCACACAGGCTGGACACAGCCAGCCTTCGACGTAATGGACCGCTCTGTTTCCTTCAGTCAGCAGGCCTGGCATGCTGCACCCACCCACCCCTTGAACAATCTCCCGAGCCATGGTGTTTTGTCACAGGCTGCTTTTCTGGGTCAGCGGGAACCATTTTGCAACTCTTAAAACACCTTCCTAAATCCCAGCCAAGCCAGATGTTCCCTGAGTAACGCTGGGCTGCTCTGAGTGTACCAAACAGGCCCCCCAGCTCAGAGACGGGGGAGAAGGGAAAAGCCTCCGGACGAACACGGCCAGATTTCAGAAAAACATTAACTGCGCCCCGTAAGGCTCGGAGAGCAGCCGAGGATGAAAGGGCTGTGGTGCTGAGGGCTGAGATTTCAAAGGGAATGGAGCCTCAGGCAGGGGAATCAATATAATCATGGGAAGGGGGGACATAGACTCAGGCTAAGCTAAGCCAATGCTCTCTGGAGCTGGGAGGGAGAATGAAGGCTTGTGGAACAGGTCGGGAAAGCAAAGCAGAGACACGTGCACATTCAGGCTACGTCTACACTGCCACGGTTTGTCAACGGAATTTATGCCAGCACCCAAAAGTCGACAAAATAAAACGCCCAACAGGGTGTTCCCACTTGCTCCCTCTGTCCACCCTGGGGGCACCATCCTTGGCAGTGTGAGCAATGCCCTGTTGGTATGTCTCCCACAGCAAAGCACTGTGGGAAGGCAGAGCTGATCCCTGTGCATCTTGGGATTCCCTCCAAGTGCTCCCACAGTCCCCTCAGCGGCTGAGAGCGGCACCATGAGTAGCTCTGAGAACTCTCCATGCTAAGAATGCCAAAGCAGCACAGCTGTCTCTCCAACTCTCCCCCAGCAGTAGCAGCCTGCCTGCTGTTGTGTTCCTAGCAGGGCAGACCAGGAGCATTCCAATGATTTGCTCTTTGTTTGTT